AAAATGAAAAATATCGGAAGTAACGCGGACATTAAGCGCGATACACGTTTCAAATAAAATACGCTCTACAACAACAAATTATAAAAAATATGAAAAACTGGGTTGGAGGTGAATCCCTGACGTGTCGTTCCGTTGTATTCCACGTTGTGGTCGTCGGTCGTACTACTGATCCTGTCGTCGCCGTGCTGGTTGTTGCTCTTCGCCGCCGCTCGTCCGCGTTGTTTCTCTTCGCCGAATGAGGAGATCCGCCGAGGGGATGCTCTCCGAGGAAGCTGAGCAGTTACCCCAGCTGACTTATCATCCTCGCCCGAACATACACATTAGGTGTGGGAAACCATTAGTGACATGCGGGCCTGATTTACATACTTACGCTCACGAGCTATCTTTTAATAAAACCTAGGTGACAAAGCGACAGGCCTGCCCGTGCGACCATGCGTTTCCATTCTAAATTTGACGCAGTAGAACAGCAACAGTTATGAATGGTTGTTGCTTTGCAGTTTAACACGTGCAGCTCATGTGTCTGTGTTTTGGTCTTTTCTTGTTTGCGGAGAAAAAGGGCGTTGACTCGGACGGTAGTATTGCATCATGGCTCTCGTCGTCGCTGAGTTGAAAATGGGTGAAAAGTTCACTCGCTTCCGAACACACACATACGGACGACTTCTCGATAACATGTGTTTTTGCTCACTGTAGTAGCGCTTTAGCGCTGCACCGAAAAAACGCATAAAAATGTAAACAGCAGCAGGTTAATGTGAGCCCTGAGCTTGAACTTTTGACACAAGGTTATTGAAATCTGGATTTATATCACTCGCACAGAATCTCACAGTATTTGCCAGATTGTCGCCTGTTAGCTTTGTGCGTTTTTTGCAGCTATGCAGTGCAGAAAACGCATATTGACGAGAGGTTGTCTGTGTCTATGTATTCGTCTGTGCCGATTTTTTATCTCCAGACCGGCAAAAGCTACAGGGCTGAAGCTTTGGGGACATAATCTACATACACATACGGGCCCCCATCCCCAAAATGGACGGTCCTACCCGCGTAAGAGCCCGCCAAAATTTTTTTAGGGCGAGTTGATAACTCGCGAACCGGGAAAGCTAGAAAGCTGAAATTTTAAGGGAATGTTCCCCGTCCAAGTATATACTAATGAGCTCAAATCCAACCCTCGGGTAAGCGTGGTACCCGCGTACGGCCCGCCAAAGTTTTTCCCTCGCAAATTCACAACTCGGAGAGTGCCGGTAGCAACAGAAACTGCGGTGAGCTACGCAAAAAACGCGTCTTTGCACGGGCAGCCCGTGCGCTGGCCAATTACTAGTTTTATTTTTATGGAAGTGCGGAAACGTGGCGAAATACAAACTCCCACTCGTCTGGTTAAGTACCACACATGAGCGAATGCAGCGCGGTCTCCTGGGGAGGGGACGGTTTTCCACCTCACCGTCTTCTTTCGTCACTAACCCCCTCCCCCCTCCCCGCCCTTGAGCAGCTTCCAACCCACCCTTCAATTGCCGCACTACCCCTCTCCCTTCGAACGTCTCACTGCGCCTTCCCCCTGTCTCGCTCGTCATTACACTCAATGATCCGCCCCCTCCCCTCCCACCCCTGGTTGCCTTACTGCACCCCTCTCGAAAGCTCCTGGGCCCGCCAGTGGTACCACATTCCGATCCTTCCACGGGCCGGATCCTGCCCGCGGGCCGCAGAATATTTTTATGCGTTTTTTTCAGCAATGCAATGCAAAAAACGCATATTGACGGGAGGTTGTCTGTGTGTGTGTGTGTGTGTGTGTGTGTGTCTGTGTGCGCTGCGCATCTGTACCGATTTTTCATCTCGAGGCTGGCAAAAGCTACGGGGCTGAAACTTTGGGGACTTAATCTACATGCACGTACGGGCCCCTATTTCCATTTGCCGCGTGGTACCCACGTAAGACCCCGCCAAATTTTTTTATGGGTAAGCTGCTAACTTGCGAACCAGAAAAGCTAGAGAGCTAAATTTTATGGGAATGTTCCCCGTCCAAGTAGGCACTAATGAGCTCAAATCCTGCCTCGGGTAAGCGTGGTGCCCGCGTACGGGCCACCCAAAACTTTTCCCGCGTAAATTCATAACTCGGGGTTCTGAGATGCTGGAAAGCTGAAATTTTAGCGGGATGTTCCCCGCCCAAGCAGCTACTAATGAGCTCAAATCCAGCCCCCGGGTAAGCGTGATACCCGTGTACGGGCCCCCCAAAATTTTTC